GATGTAAAATAAGTTGTCAAAGATCTAAGCAGTATGAGAAATGTAAGAAACTTAATATTGACAAGATTACGGAGAGTGACAAGAGAGAAACATTTCAAAATAAAATTAAAGAAATTAATGACAGTAGAGCAAATAAAGAAGTAACGGTAGAAGGGATATGGGTAGATTTTAAAACCGCAATAATTACAGAAGCCGAGAGGACTCTGGGATATCAAGAGAAACAGAATAATAGAGAATGGTTCAACGAGGAATGCAGGGAGAGTATAAACCTCAAGAATAAGAAATATATGGATTATATGGAAAGACCAACAAGAGCAAGAAATGAGGCGTATAAAGAAGCAAGAAGGAAAGCAGACAAGATTTGCAGGAAAAAAGAAACGGGCCTTTCTAAATGAGCAATTACTGCAAATGGAAAAAGTTGGCTTGAAGTGTAATTCTTATTGTCTCTGTTGAGACAATGCAGGAAATACAGCAGGACAGATAAGCAGAACAAATTCATAGATGGTTATATCCTTGCATTATGCACACAAAAAATGGAATATGGACCTGATCCGAAGTACCACATTAGGAATTGTTGCGTGAATGTAAGGCTCCACGCATTCCAGGCCTCAAAATGGATGTGAATGGTCAGCCTCACACTCCGGCCACTTTAAACACAAAAGAAATTATCCCTTGGTACGTACAGTAAACTGAGTATATACGAAAGTTTTTCTATACATATTGGTGACGAGAAAGATCCCAACGCTCCTACCTAGATTCGAATCCCTGTCGAGCAACGTTTAGTCATTCATTAAAAGTACTGACTAATTGCGACCCATCGTGTTTACGCCTTGCAGCAGGTGGTTACTGTATACACAACCTGCTCTAACACTAAAACCCGGTATTTTGCTCACAGGGCGTATTAGTGTATTTCACATTTTCAAAACAAAGACAGACTATGTCCATAATGAGCATTTACCATCTGCTTTTGTAAAGGAGACGCAGGGTGTTTCTGTAATTTACATTAATTTAAAACATCATATGTTGTAGTTAATAACTACAGAAGCAGTACTTAACCTAGATTTGACTGCGGACTCTAATCTCGGTTTGACCGGCCGACTTTTGAAGCCTTACTTTGCTGCATATAGGTTATACGGCAAACACTCGATACCCCACCCCTCATTTACAGAAACGATGAAGACACTCCAGAGACTAGAGGAACGAATGACTTCTTATTGAACCCCAATTATACTATGTTTAATCACTGCGCCATTTGCTTTTATTTTAGGGTTGTCTTGTGCACGGTTTATACTTGGAAGGTGCTCACTGGGATAAGCAGAGACAATGTTTAGTGAGATCCCACCCAAGAGTGCTTATTGAAGAACTGCCTATGCTGCTGATTATTCCAATAGAGGTCCACAGACGCAAGCTGCAAGTAAGTAACACTGCTAAGCCTCTGCTAAATTTGAAGAAAGCCGTCTTCTTCGATGTGGGGTCATGAAGATATTGTTGACCGACGTTTCGGAGGAACGTATCCCCTGCATATTCAGGGTAGAAAAAAAGAACATTCGAAACGTCGGTTTACACAATATCTACACTGTGCCACATGCCAGAAGACGGCATTCTTCAGTCACTGCCGTGAAGACCTCAAATCTTACTCTCTGCTAAAGTTGCTTTCTATGTTTGTCTCTTTTTGCTGAGAAACGCGTCCTTATGTACAGAAACAATATCAGGGGAGAGGATTCGTTTCTTCTTGATTGTTAATTTCATTGCTTATAGAACTACGATACAAAACTATAATTTTGCCTGTGGTTCTGTATGGGCGTGAAATCTGGTCTCTGACATTAAGGGAGGAACATAGACTGAGGGTGTTTGAGAACAGGGTGTTGAGGAGAATATTTGGACCGAAGAGAGGTGAAATGACAGGAGGTTGGAGGGGCTTCATAACTTGTACTCGTCTTCAAGTATAATTAGAATGATCGAGTCAAGGAGGATGAGGTGGGATGGGCATGTAGCACGAATGGGGGAGAATATGAATGCCAATAGGATATTCGTGGGAAAGCCAGAAGGAAAGAGACCACTGGGACGACCAAGGCATATGTGGGTGGTAAATATTAAAATGGATCTTAGAGAGCTGGGATGGGATAGTATGGACAGGCACCAGTGGAGGGCTCTTATGAACACGGTAATGAACCTTCCATAAAATGCTGGAAAGTTCTTGATTAGCTGCACAATTGGCGACTTCTCAAGAAGGGCTCAGCTCCATGATTGAGTGATAGGCCTGCGGCGTCTAATGAGGCGCGAAACAAAAATTAGCCCAAAAAAGTGCGACCTGGGAGGAACTTGCTGATAGTAACGGCCGGCATGTGAAGGGGGAGAAAGCGGGAGTGATCTATTTTCCTGAAATGTTTATTAGGGAATTTTCATTAGAATTTACCAAAGTTTACCAATTTTCGCTAAGTCAAACAAAAATAACTTTCACTTTACATGTATGTACCTCTAGTATGATTGCTTAAATTTTTATCGGAGCCTAAACATATCGCTCAAGAACTTTTGAGATACTTAAGCACAAATTTATGGATTATTCATACAATTTTTAACTTGTATGCTCAAAAATCAGCAGTGGGTTTCCGACCGAAATTGACCAATCAATAAAGCATTTATGAAAACACGAAAGGAGTTCTGAGGTATCTTTTTTACCATAAAAATTAAACGAAGTTTCCACCCACGCTAATTTGTGTGTTCATATGTATAAATATGTATTAATTATAATGTACTTTTAAACAGAGCATAAATCCTTCCTTCAATTTCTCTGAATAAACACATTAAATAAGTACATTAGCTTATCGCAAAATAATATTCAGACATGGATGTTAAAATTTTACTTTTATTGCCCTAATTCCTATTTCCGAAGAATCCTGCTAAGTGTACAATATAAACTTTCACTCTCTCCTTAATTTATGTCTTTAATTTAGTACAATTCCTGTTTCACAGAATACCTTTCGGACCCCTGTGTATATAACTTCTCGACGCAGAGACGCAAGGGGGGCTGGTCTCGTGTTCCAGGTGGACCTTGCAACCAAAGAGCATGAAAGTCACTGGATTCTTCAAGGAGTCTGCCTTGTACTCAACACAGACTGAGATACAAGACCCGGAGTCTAGTGCATCTTTCATAATGTTGCAATGCTGGCAATTATAAATTATTTTGCTTTTGCAAATTTTCTATGCGATGTGCAGTTTAGAAGATTGAATTAAACTACAGAACAGTGTTTATATAATTCTGATCTACCCTGTTTTCCCGCCATTTCATATTCATTTGTGAACAATTAGTAATGTTCCCTTATACATTACTGAGGTTTAGAAATGAACTCACCGTGGAAATTTCATAAAAGGTGTGTTAGGCTGACAGATGGACAGAAAGATGGGTAGACGAAAGCTTCAGACCAGTTCTTCTCCTGCAGTAAGGTTTCTTAACTTGTCAATGTAGCAATATGCAATATTTAATATTTTAAGGAAGAAATTACGCTCAAATTAAAATATTATATTATACGCATATAATTAATGAGCCGGGATAGCTCAGTCGGTATAACAGCTGGCTATGGACTGGACGACCGAGGGGTCGGATTTCTAGTCCCGATAGGGTCAAAAATTTTCTCTTCTCCACGTCGCCCCGCCCGGTTGTGGAGCCTACCCAGCCTCCTATCCAATGGGTACAGGGGAGACTCTTTCCTCGGTGGTAAGGCGATCGAGGCGTGAAGCTAACCTCTCGCCTCCATCTAGTACCGAGGTCAAGAATGATGGAACTATACCTCTACCTCCCTATATATCTTCGTAGAATGGTGCTTAATTAAGCAAAGTCAGAGCTTAACTTTCACCAGCTGCGTTACCACCCGTTGTCTCCAATCTCACATGGACAGCCGGTGTTCTGCAAGTCTGCTTTCTCGCTATGATTCTGGCCTCTTCAGGTACGTAGCTAATTCTAAACCGATCAACTGAAATTTGGGGTTAGTTCGACTGTCGTCCGCTCAGTATCCATGCTCGAAATTCCAGAGTGGTCGTGTTTTCAACCTTAAAGCACAACAAGGACCGAAGTGGCGTTTTGTAGAGGCATCACAACTAAACGGATTGTTGATGCAGATTTCTTCTGAATATGACATTCAATTAAAGCTTCTCTGGGCGTCCTGTTGCTGTATACAGTGATATTTCATAGCTCCCTAATGACGCTTCGGCGCCACTCTGAAAAATTACATCACTGTAAAAAATTTCCAGACTTAACTATTACACAGAGGCTATCCTCGTCACTGTATAGCGACATCACTCAAAAGTAGGTCATTTTAACCCTCCTATTTCATCCCTACCAATCACGGTAGCCGAGCGGTCTAAGGCATGTACTGTCTTCGCTCGCTCGGAATCGGGGAGCGTGGGTTCGAATCCCACACAAGACATAGATGTTTGGTGTGTGTATGCGTTTATTCTGTCTGTGTAGTCCTGTGTTTAGGAAGAGGTTTTGCGAGGCGCTGCTCACCCATCCAAGGAGTCCTACCGTTTGTAAAATGATCAATGAGACTGAGAAATCAACCCTGTGCTCCAAAGTTGGAGCGAAGAGGAAGAAAAAAAATCATCCTTGCCTCCCAGCTCAATAAGATTCTTACAAGATGAAGAAGTGTCACCTACATGGACCCTGGGGTCCGGATGACATTTAAATTCATGACTTCTTTTTCTGTTTGCTCTCGTCGGGGCCTCGGAGTTTTCTTCTGGTCTTTGCTATGAATCTGATTAGGTTTTCTTGACACTGTTTCTCTTTCTTCTTCTTTATTCCAGCGTCTTCCGTTCCAAGCATAACTTTTACAAACGCATCTAAGGAACTTCGTGTGCTGATGTTGCAGTAACTCTCTGTTAGTAGAACACAAAAGATCAACGCCATCGCATCTGACACGAGCTTGATCTGGTCTTTATGACCTCTTCACTCAAAATACTTCCTAATGTTCTCGTCATACTTTGTCTGTCTTCACAGTGGACGTTTTAAAGGACGTTTCCCACTAACATGCTGCATCAATTCTCTCTCTCCACCTTAGCTCAACTTATGCCCACTGGAACCCCCTCGATTCTACTATCATAACAAGAGAAGTTAAATCACGGAAGTTACTTGTTGAGTGGATCAAGTATCTTAGATTACTCCTCTTAAGTCCAGCCATTTTCTTGGGTTCTTTGTCCGCAATATTTGTAACTAATGCTCTACCCGCAGAGTACGACATTAAAAAAATAAATTGACAAAATTGTTATATAAGGCAGAAACATATAGTCAAGTGTTTATGTGTGACTAGAGACGAGGTTTGGGTTGGTGATTGGATTTATTGAACACTTACACACGTAACTACAAATAACTACAATAGTCTTACTGAGTTACACATTCCAAAGATCACTGTAACTACAGCACACACAAAGTCTTATCAGTCTTCACTAGCCGTTACTTGGTAGCGGCTTCAACTATGGACGTCCACCTTCCTCTGGATTCCCGAATATACCGTATTTACGCATGTACAGGCCGCACATTTTTTGCCAAAAATTCAAGAGGAAAACTGGGGTGCGGCTTATATTCGAAATCACACTTCATTTAAAAAAAATTATATTCATAATTAGTAATACAGGGTGTTCTACTCCTGAAATAATATTCCAATAAAATTATTTTTTCTATAATTTCTGTCTGAAAATTGTGCTGCGGCCTATACACGCACGCGGCCTATACATGCGTAAATACGGTATCCCGGCCTCAGCTACCAGCCTCTCCCTTATCACAGCTTCAACCCTCAACTGACTCAACAACAGCTCAAATTTATGTTACGACCGACGGTCAGTCGGCCAGTCTATCTTGGTTTCAAGCCGCCACCTGAGGCTGAAGACCAGATTTTTATTACCGTCAGACAGTTTGTTGATATAGGGCACCCTCTCTGACGAAAGGACGGGTCTGTCGTTTACAATTGCCGCTGGTCCTCGCCAGGGCAGTCATTCTCGGGTCTGTGTCCCGCGGGACTCATGACCATATTTTACTGCCTCAGATTCGAGATTCCCCCAGCGTGAAGGTTTAGATCCCGTATTTATATCCTCCAGGAAGAGGGTGTCACAGTCATACGCCCAGGCACTAAATTTCGCCAACATCTGAACTACTTGTCCTCGTTATATAGCCCAGACAAGGACCACAGAGAAAACGTCTCTTGCATTATTACGTGTTCTCCCGTTGCCGTGGAAACAACGTATCCACAGAGCTGTTCCCTAGCAACGGCTGTTGCACAATCACCTATTTACATAGTTGTTACTTGGCAGTAAGTCCACATGTCACAATATGTAGCATAATTCATACTTTATACTCGTTACTAAGTAGTATTAGAATGATCAAGTTAAATATGAGATTGACATGGAATGTAGCACGCACGAGAGGGAGAAGTCCATACAAGTTTTTCGCAGTAGGCCCTGAAGGAAAGAGACCACGAGGAAGACCTAGGCGTAGGCGGATGATATTAAAATGGATTTTGAAGAAATAGGATGGGAGGTGTGGGCTGGATTCACCTGTCTCAAAATGAGGACCGGTGACAGGCTGTTGTGAACACGATAATACATTTTCGGATTCATGAAGTGATGGAATTTTTGGACAGAGTGACCAAATATAGCTTCTAAAGGACTCATGGTCACGTAAATATAAATATCAGCATGTGTATATAATCTGGAGCTCCAATGTGTTGGAATACTGGGGGCTTAATTGAAATAATGCCGGTCACGGTAGCCGAGAGGTCTAAGGCATGTACTGTTTTCGGTCGCTTGGAAACCGGGATCGTGGGTTCGAATCCCACTCAGGGCATGGATGTTTAGTTTGTGTGTGTGCGTTTTTCTGTGTTTGTGTACAGGTAGAGGCCTTGCGACGAGCTGATCACCCGCCCATGGAGTCCTACCGAATGTGTAAGATCTAGAAAAACCGAAGTGAAGGGAGAAGCTCATGGAGGTAGGCCTAGGCCCATTGGGGCTGTAGTGCCAAGGAAAAGAAAATTGAAGTAACAAAATTTCAGGCATTCGCTCGGGCCTAGTGAAGCCAGGCGACAGCCCGTACTGATGCAGTAAACAGGCCCAACTAGCGAAAGTACTCGTTCCTTCCCCTTCTTTAGAACACTCGCAACCCCTCAGAGCGCGCATTAGAGCGCGGCTTTTCTAATATGAGTATTTGTCTACATATTCCAATTTTCGTTAAAATCGGATGTAAATAAGAGACAGTCATGCATTTCAGCTCGTGACTCGTTTAATATTCATCGGAGCAGATAAGAAAAATTTAGAACAGACGTCGCAGAGAAAACCGAAAACCCCCATTTTGTTTACAGCGGAATTACTCTGTAAGTTTTGCGGTTTTCTAAATTTGTATGGAGAGCACGCACCAGAATTGCATTCATTGCGACAACTTATGAGTGTGGTGTGTTGGTGTAAATACACAAAGAAGAAACTCCGTAGCTTGAGTTCGCAAGCGAATTATTCCGACCGAGCGACAGCCGCTTGTTAGTGCCAACTTTAGCGGATAGAGGGTGTCGCTTGGTCAGCCCAACGAATCCCCATGGCTGCTAATTTCGGTTTTCTAGACCGGAACAGCTATTTCCTTGAAATAGCTCCTCAGTTATCCTCACGAGGCTGGGGACCTCAAGATAGTTTTCCAGGAACTAGACCACATAGTGACCAAAAAGAGGATATATAAATTAGTTCGGATTTGTCTTAAAAACCTGCATTCAGATAATAACATTTATTTTTAATTGTGTGAATTTTGTTAATATATTGATTAGTAAACTGTACATGGATCAGAAAGTTAGAGTGCGACTGGACAGAGGGGAGACAAGAAGTGTGAAGATTGGAAGAGGAGTTCGACAAGGATGCTGTTTATCACCAATTTTGTTCAACTTCTACAGCGAAAGCCTTACCAAGGAAGCTCTGGATGGGCTCGGAGACTTCAAATTAGGAGGGCAAATTATTCAAACTGTGAAATATGCAGATGACCTTGTGTTAATGGCTAAGGAAGGAACTGTGCTACAGGGTATGATTGATAGACTAATTGAAATTGGAAGGTGCTATGGCATGGAAATGAATGTGGAGAAAACAAAAGTAATGAAAATTTCGAGACAACCAACCCCAGTCACAATAAAGATAGACCAAAAACAACTGGAGAATGTGAAATGTTTTAAATATTTGGGTAGCTTGTTAACAGATGATGGAAGGTGTACTAGTGAAATTAAATCCAGGATTGCCATGGCAAAAGCTGCATTTAGCAAGAAGAAGAATCTTTTTACCAGCAAATTGGACTTAAATTTGAGGAAGAAACTAGTGAAATGCTACATTTGGAGCATAACTCTGTATGGGGCTGAAACATGGACACTTAGGGCAGTAGATCAGAAGCATCTGGAAAGTTTCGAAATGTGGTGTTGGAGAAGGATGGAGAAGATCAGTTGGACCGATTATGTGAGAAATTAAGAAGTGTTATTTAGAATCAGTGAGCAGAGGAATATCCTACACGAAATAAGAAAACGGAAGGCTAATTGGATTGGTCATGTTTTACGCAGAAACTGCCTTCTAAAGGAAGTTATCGAAGGAAAGATAGAGGGGCGGATAGAAGTGACAAGAAGACGAGGAAGAAGACGTAAGAAGATGCTGGATGACCTTGGGGACAGAAGAGGATACTGTCATTTGAAGGAGAAAGCTCTAGATCGCATCAAGTGGAGGAACTGTTTTGGAAGAGACTGTGGACCTGTCGTCTGACAGATTACTGATGAATGAAAGAATATTCCCGTGATTATTATTTCTAGCGATCCCTTAATAAATAAAATGGTCATCAGCCAACAAAACAGTATGTACATAGATCGCTTTTGTACTGTAAAATCGATTAAATTTACCCAGCAAGACCAGAAACGGAAAGACATACACAGAATTATAAAAGAAAGGATTATTATTACAATATGTTACAAGGGCTGTTTGAATTTGAAGGCCGGCATAAGTTAATCCGCAGATCGGCGTCTGCCCGCTGACCACTGGATGAGAAACACTTCTGAAGCGTCACAACGCTGTAAATGTACTACATAGGGAGCGCAGATCTAAGGCATATTATACTTGGTGATCTCCAATAAATTAGCGGTCCATCGTCGAGATTTCGCTGAGCATGTTTAGTATTTGAAAGCGCCGTAGAGAAGCGCAAGCTTGTAACCATGGCAACCGATTGTTCCAGTCTCCACTCTGGTGGCTGCACTCTGTACTAGCGGCAGACTCAGTTCCTCACATTGACATGACCAAGTCGGTCAGAATCTGACAGGTTACGAAGCGAAAAGTATTTTATAATTGGCAATTAAATTAAAATTGACTCGATGCTGGCATAAACTCAGAGCGGTTAAATGGAAAAAGCGAGTTCGAAGCCCCTTAGGTGGTTGCTGATAACAGGTGGTTTGTATTTAACCTTGATTTCTACATCTTTGTTTGGTTCTACAAGGGCACTGACCACAGACAGTTTGCGCTCCTTTGAGGGCATGCGAGTATACAATGTTGGTGTTCTTATGGCATCCAGCCTTGACTCGCCGTTTGATCTGGAACGGGCAGGACCTGCTGTGGACATGGCACTGGAGTTGGTAAACAAGGAGTTCCTCAGCCAGCACAACATCAGGCTTCACAAGCAGCAAGCCAGGTACGGTGCCTCAGCTTGTGTGTTACAGCTTGCCTCCTGACTTTCCATCTAGTTACGGTCTAGTGGTCAGAGTTCCTACCTACAGATCCAGAGGTCCCGGGTTCGATTCCCGACGCTACCAGATTTTCTGAGAAGTAGTGGGTCTGGAACTGGGTACACTCAGCCTTGTGAGGATAATTGAGGAGCTATTTCAAGGAAACAGCGGCTCCGGTCTAGAAAATTGAGATTAACGGCCGTGGGGATCCGTTGCGTTGACAATGCGACGCCCTGTACCCTCAAAAATTTACACTAACTTCGCCGACAAGCGGCGGTCGCGGACTTAAACCACGGAGTTTTCTTTATTTGTTAATCTCTGCCATTTCGTGACCCGTGCTTCGTTCGCTTCAAAAGAGGAAAGTGAGTTGTTGATTCATAGGTTATAAAATGACGCTGTTTCGATCGTAGAGATTAGGCAAAGTCGTATGGAATGGGAGTTCTTAACAAGAGCTGAATTAGGTAGGATTTTCTGAAGAAACTGAAGAAAAGCACGAAGTACCTCTGTTAAGCATATATTAATATAATACAAAATTACCTATATTTTGTGGTGATTTTGCATAGTATAATTCCATAAGATTATAGAGATATCTTTTCCAAGTAGTAGGCATATATCTGCTCCACCACATTTAAATTCCTATTGAAAAATATCCTGTCGACATAATTATTAAGACTGTTACTTATATGAGCTAGGCCGCGCCATAGCTCAAGCGGTTAGTTGCTGGCTTCCCACCGCGGCGGCCCGGGTTCCACCCCGGAGTCTGGTCAAGTGGGATTTGTGGTGGACAAAGTGGCGCTGAGACAGGTTTTCTCCGAGTACTTCGGTTTCCCCCGCCAATTGCTCCACAATCACCCTCACCTATCATCTGGGGCTGGTACAATAGGCCAGAAGTGGCCGCAGTACAAGGGACTTAGTCCCACCCCACTAGCAATAAAAAAAACATACGAGCTACGTTATCAGTGTTGGTCGAAAGGGAAGATAATTGCACTAACTCAAGAGACCGGTTGCTGAGCAGGCAGGCCCATGCAGGCAGGACGCATTACATTATTCTTAAACGATTACATGTCACGGCTGAACATAATTCAACCGAACGTTTCTGTTGGCGTGATAGTAAGGATGTTCCTTGTTCTTGAGGTCCTGATTTGGTTCGTGTTTATCAGTCAAACTGGAAGGAGCTGATTATCTCTGATACTATTGCCAGTGTGACGGACCAGGGTGAACCAATTCAAATTTAGCGTTTCGAGAAAGTTAGAGTCTGCAATCCTAATGTAAAACTAATGTTTTAGTTAGTTCTACAGTCTTACGTCCAACAAGTAATTAAAACTTAATAAGGGTCAGTCACTTTAAAAGTATTCACAATATGTTTCGACTGAAAGGGTCATCATCAGGTGTTAAAAGTTGTGGGTAAGGAAACTGCTGTCATTCTGCGTTGATGTTTCCTCACCCACAACTTTTAACACCTCATGATGACCACTTCGGTCGAAACATATCGTGAAAACTTTTAAAGTGACTAGCTTTTATTAAGTTTTAATAAATGACTCCACATAAGTCGGTAGAACTAATTAAAAACAGTAAGTGATAAGTGCAACAGGATGCTGCAGTACAACACTAACGTAAAACTTGTTTTTATGGAGAAGCACATCTGGAATATGAGTTCTGATGTCTTACACCGATCCTATGCAATTTCAGTATACCTTTAAGCATGCAACTTAGTTACTCTGCAGGCCCTACTCTTGTTAGCACAGTAGTAATGCATACATACATACAGTTACAAGCGAAGAATCAGAGAGTGGCTGTGCAACTTTGATTACGAAACAAGTGGAAGCCATTGTCTGAATTCAATTCCAGGACACGTTCTCAGCATTCCCTTATAGAGAGTGAAGGAAAAACCTAAAGATCTGGCAGGATACTCAGTTCTTGGCCTGAAAATAGAAAGCAGGATTTCTTGAATGCAAAACAGAGCTCTGCCTTTGCCATGGATTTAGTCACAACACTGTGTCGCCTGAGCAACGTTCGCTTTAGTTCCTTTCAAGAGAAACGAGAAAACAATTTCACTTTCCTGTCGTAACGCCATCAAACCAAGTGATCCCTTGGAGAGAAATTTGACTGACGTCTGAGGCACTCAAAATATTTTGAATAGAACATGGAATTTGAACAGCTGCAGTAAATTATTTTATTCTCGAAAAGAAGAATGATTGTCATCTGCCAATAACGTTTTCTGAAACAAAGCCACGTAGGCAGTAGTAGTTCCAGAAGTGTGAGTTTTCAGGGAGAAATATTGGTGCAACTGAACTTTGATAGTGTTATGTTACAGCTTCTAGGCACATGAAAGCCTGAATCCAAAGCTCCAAACATTCAAGGTCGCGGTACTAGATGAATCATTCTATATCCCGGGGAAAGATTGAGCCCCAAAATATATCTGAATGTGATAATATTGAGATAAATTATACTCTTGCAGAGATTAAAACCTGGGTCGTCTAGCAGCTTTATTAATTATGCTAATTCGTATTTATAACTATATGCAGCATAATCCTCCTTTAGAGGTTAATATTCATTCAGCTGGTCAATAAATTACATGCATTTAAGAAACCCTCACGTATGTCGGCATGTTCAGAAAATCCCGACATTTTACCCTGTCCAAAAACTATGAGCGGGAAACTTTTTGCTAACTTATTAACAAAGTAAGTTATAGTATGAGAGGATTGTTAGCCTCACATATGCAGCTGGAGGTCCATTCCTTTTAGTTGTCCGCAAATGTTTACTTGGAATACTTAGATATGTTTCGCCCATGCATTAATTCATGAAAAGATCTGAAAAATTCATAGAACCGAATGCGGTTTCATGGGGAGATGCACAGGCCTCGCTGTTCGCCTGGAACACGCATCTGCTCTATTAAAGTATTGAAATCTTACTTCGTTGAAATCATTGAAGTTTTTCTATATATAACAGAATGAATATCAACAACACCGCGTGTTATGTAAACATACATAGTTACTCCCTCTCTATGGGAAGATGGAAGGTCCTTTTTCCTAGAAGTTCTTGTTTAGGAATCCACGAATCTACATATCGTAAGTTTATAAAAATACATTTGTTTTTTAACTCAGAATTCTCAAATCGAATTGTACGCTGTTCAAACGGCTGATCTTGAAATGTAAGGCGGGCAGCATGTAGTAGTAAGAACAAAAGAGATTTAGTATTTTGTTTAAACTTCATACATCGCTAAGAATATTTCATACTTGTAATTGCAAAACTGCCCTACCTAATATTTCGTAAATTTCTGATTTTTACGGTTCGGATTTGCTAGTCTCCCAAGAAAGGTGCAAGTTGAATGACCACCCATTGTCGGCTCTCCGTGACTGCTTGGTCAGTATATCCTCCATATCTTGAAGTATTATTCTTCAACCACAACTTGAGAACGCGCCATGCGGTGGTAACAAGAGACCCACTTAATGGCGTTTTACAGATAAATTAAAACCGCTGTAGCAAGATATAATTTTCAAAATTAAGTGCACTTCAGAGCATCCAGTTTGAGGGTGCGCTGGCTATAATTTGGCTGAGAGTTACTCTGCTTGCCACGCTTTGTGACTGGAAGTACAGGGAGTTAAGCCCTGCTGGGAGTATAGGATAATTTGATGGACTGCTAGTGCTAGGGAAAAACTGCTTGGCCACAGGTAACATCCCTAAGTCGACAGTACACCAAAATATTTTTCGATTAAAGCAAACCATAAAATAAATTTTTGCAACGTGTCTAGAATTTCTTCGTGCACATTATCTGAAAGCAATATAGTTTGAGAGTATCAGTAAATTTGAGTAGTTAAAAAGGTAATAAAATTATTGTTTCGTACACTATCCATCATTCTGTTTCTATTTAAAGAGGTAATGATTCGTTTAATGAAAATATACTGTGAAAACGTAATTAATTTGTTCACACATTAATTAATTTCTGGGGCATGTAGACTTATTTGTAAGAAAGAAACAAAAACTCTAAAATGAATGAATGAGTGAATAAATAAACAAAGAACGAAAAAGTTAAGGATTCAAGCGACAAAGAACGTTAAATGAGAATAGGTAGATATATATAAATATATGTAAAGAAATATAGAATGGAAACATGAAAATTTAATTAATAAGAAATACGAGACAAAGGAGGGGAAAATGCGAAATGAATCCACGTAAAAGTCTGCAGAAACTTTAAAATACATCAGTGCTTACTGCCACTGTTCTTGTCACGTCATCAGCAGAATAATACGTTCAACATATTCCGAGACAGCCTTAGTGCAAGAAACACCTAAAAACCTGTTTAAAAAAACAATTTCTGCTTCAGTTTATGCCATGGAATTCAGTAATAAACTAAGTTGTCAAAGTTATAAAGCAAAGAGACTGGACATTACTAGCAACAGCTGTTGGACACAGACAAATACTTGACCCATGGCTGTGGAAGAGTTAATAATTAATTTTTAATTGTGTGCATATTGGATACTCTTATACGATGACGTAAAGCAGGTTCGAGGCTCGGGGACCAATGATAGAAGAGACTCCTAATTGTCTGCAGACGGGCATGAGGTTGCGCCGTGCTCGTCCTTTCTGCTAATGAATAATGCAAGAAAATTGAAACGGATGGTAGCCATAACAGAAGGTGGGACTGGGAGGACTGCTCACGTTGTAAAAATAAAGTGTCCAATTTGAAGCAAATGTCTGTCTCTGTTAGCAACAAAGTCAAGAGCGTTGTAAAATTCAAGCTACGCCTTAACGAACAGAGAGTTCAGATCATGTTTGCTCTTTTCCCGTTCCTTGAATGAAAAATATGCCTAGCAACAGGATAGAAATTTACCCCTAGCAACTACGGAACACCAGCTTCAGAGTCGAAATATTTGGTAGAATCCTGATATCGTACGGATTAAAGGAATTATAAATTTACATCTTCACAACTTACATACTAATAGACAGCCAGAACGCATATTAATGT